AGAGGCATCGAAGACACCAACGGTCAAAGACTTCAAGCGATAGGATGTCTGCTTTTCTCACTGGCCATGTTTCGTAGGCATATACTAACACCGGTCTGATTTATGCTTTGTCCATCAGCAGCTCAGTACGTAAGCTGATGCATGAGCAAGACCAGAGTGGTCTGGCTAGCAGCCTAAATGCATTTCTAGCCTGCGCGATTCCGTTCTTGATTTCGTCGTAGGCCTGTCCGTTGGCTAGCATATTCGAGCCCAAATAGCGGAAGCAGCTAACTTCTTCAATGAGTTGACCGCTAATAAACAGTGGTTGTGCTGTGCCGAGATGTGTAGTCAGGAGCTTCGTCTTGCGTACACTAATCGTCAGACCGACCGTTGCAGCGAAGCTGGTGAATAGTTCTAGCGTTGGTTGTAGTGACTGAGGGGTTTTACCAAGTACGACAATGCCTTTGGCATATTCCAGATCAGGTACTCTGAAATTAGGGTTGATTTCACATCTTCTGGTCAGGTAGAATTGATTGATGCATCACCCAGTCGATCAAGAAGTTGAAGATAACAGGGGAAAGAGGGCATCCTTGTCGAACTCCGCAAGTCAGTGGGGAAGAATCGGACTCTTCACCAAAGGCTCCTACTCGGGCTGATGCTGCGCCATAGTAGGCTTTAATCAGATTGAGCAAGTTCAGCAAGACAACGAGCCCGTGACACAAAGGTTAGGGCGTTAGACTTCTATTCAAAAGGTCGCAAATTCGAGGCTCGGGTACCGCACTAGCCGGGGTTGGGCATGGCTGACTGATGAATGCTACTGGGTCAGAAATGATCTTTCCACTCTATCTCTCCTGCCTTTGCCGGCAATACAGTCTGCGTAGACTCCTGTGTGGGGAACCAGCATCAGTGTCAGCAGGCTGCGGGCGATTGGAATGTCAAAATGGTGAGGCGTCTGTGCGTGGCAAGGCACTGCGCAGACGACGCAGTAATTTCTCTGCGCCGAGCCTTGTACTTGTTACAAATACCCACTTGCGACGACTCACTCAGCCTTCGAATAGCAGTCACACTTGAAATCCAATCCACTACATACTTAATCAACAAGCGCGCTAGCCCAGAGTTCTGCCTGAAGTCTGCATGACGGCTATTGCCGGCACCGGGTGCCGTGGGGGCTCGGCGGTAGCTCAAACTACACGCTTCCGACTTGCACGAGGTTGGTCATCTGAGGGTTCATTCAAATGCACATACTTAGATGTTCAGATGCTTGTCTCACTGACTGGCACTGCTAAGGCCCCGTAAGTGGAAGACAGCTGTTTCAAGTACCTTCTCAAAGCTAGTTGGTACAACCCGTGTGGCCACCGTTGTTTTATTTCTCCTGAAAAGAGCTGATAGGCTAATTCTGCAGGTGCAGCTGACCCTTGTGGCGATTTACATTTTAGGGACCTATAACTGCAGACATAATATTGTTAACAAGTAGCATTCCAACCAAATGAGGTGCGTTCAGGGGGGTAATTGTTGTTCAAAATTCAAGATAATTGTTAAGCACTGCTGTGATGATGTGATCACTATGATATACTTTCGACAACAGGAACTCTCAAGCAGGACTATATAAATCACCAGGACCGAGCAAACCTTGGTACATAATGTCTCGTTGAAACGACTGAATAGGGCCCAAACAAAGGTTCCGCGACACAGATCGGTTTTTAACAAAACGGACTCTGACTTGACCACCTTCACTGCTTTATTCTCAAGAGACCTTTTGCTGTTCTTGTCACACCAGAAACCCCAAAGTGTAGGAACAAAAGGCGTCTGAATTGGTCATTCCGTCCGCAGGGAAGGGTTAGTAC